GGAAGCTTAAGTCACAACTGCGACACAGTTGCGTGCAGATGCTTGCTGGGGAACCCCGAGGTCTTTGTGCACGGGGCACTCTGGGCTCCCCTTGAGCTGCACTAACTGCAGTGTTGTGGGTGCCCCAGAGCCTTGAGCTGGCAGGAACAGGGGCTTGTGGGGGGGGGGGGGGAAGCCTGGGCCTTGGCCAGAGCGTGTCACGCGCACTCAGCAGTGGAAGAAATGCTGGGACACCTGAGCAGTGATCTTCCCTGGAAGGTTCCGGGGCTGGAGGCCTGCTCCCACTGCTACTCCGGTTCCCTCCGAACTTGACCTCCAGTGGGAACAGAGGATCTCTTCCATAGTGGAGAGTTGCTGGTCAGCTCCTGGCTGGCCAGAGCAACAGCAAAAGGTTGGAGCTGAACCGGCCCCTCTGCCAGCGCAGGGCTGCAGGTCCATCTGCCACTTTCCACACTCAGGCATCTCCCCAATTTTGAACATTTGGCTGTTTCCTTCCTCACAGGTTTGAAAGCACTTCATGGTTTAGCCTCAGCTGAGGCTCCCGACCACCCTGGCTTTCAGGAGCCTGAGACTCAACCTTCTTTTATAAACCTGTAATGATTTAACCAACCCAATTCGTGTTCAATAACGGCTATGTGTGACTACAGAAAGAACTTCGGTTATTATTACATGATGTAACCCTGCACAATATAACTTTTTTTTTTTAACTCTACTTTGGCCTTTTTCCATTTAACCAAGAGACTCAAAACCTGGCGAGGCAGGGCTCTCCAGCTTCTGAGGGGCCCTCTCTGCCGAGCAGGGGATATAGGACAATCTTCTCTGTCCCTTTAATTCTGAGCAGATATGTCTAGGTTTGTTCTGACTCGCTCAATGCCCTGTAACTTCAGGAAAATCACATCACCTCTCGGGCCTCAGTTTACCTGGTCTCCTCCACCCCACTACAGCAGACCTGACAAGTCCCCACTGGACAGGACCCTGAAGCTGGCTTACCCACCTACGTATGTGGATCGCAGTTAACAATTCCCAACTCCCCCAGACAAGGGTGGCATTGCTGGGGTGTGTGTGTGGGGGGTGTTTGCATATATGTGCTGCTCCGTAGCTCCTTGGGGGTGCCCGACCTCCTTCCAGGCCCTGGGGGCCACCTTCACTGGGATAGCGGGGTGGAAATGCCACCAGCAGGGAAACTCGGAACCACCTTCCCTAAGTGTTTTCACACTTACAAAGCTCCTCCGGCAAACCGCTCTCCTCAGCAGCCCGGCGATTCCTAATTAAGATCGTGAGCTCTGTGCACGACTGGAGGCCTGCAGTGTGGCAGCTTTCCTCTTAGGCAGGCACCTTTCTGGCAAGAGTTGAAGTCCGTGGACTTGCCAGTGTTCAGATTCTACCTGTTTCTGGCACACCACGGAATTTGGATGGAGTGTTGGCTGGGCCGGACTGCTCGCTGGACAGTTAGGGAGTCAACACCCAGGACCAGCCTCATGGGTATGACTGCAGGCAGACTGACTTTGTGTCCTGCCCAGCACGCCAGTTTCCTGACCTGTGAATGACCCCCACACCTCGGGAGCTGCTCCTCATGGTCAGGTGCAAGGCTGAGGACTTCAGCTATCCACAGACTTTCTCCCATGAAGTCAGGCCTGCTCTTACCCTCTACCCTTTGCTGGCTCCCAGGAGCAAGGAGCAGATAAGCTGTCGGAAAAGTCATTTATTTTCTGAAATGGACCGATCCCCAACCGCCCACTGAATCTTCTTACATATTCTTCGGGGTCACATCAAACCTATTCCCATGAAGAGAGAGCAACTTGGATTATCAAGGCCAATGGCCGCAAAGTTTGAGTTTTACACACACACACACACACACACACACACACACACACACACACACAGCAGCCTCAGCAATGTGGGCTGGGCTGCCTCTCTTTCCCAACTGTTGTGCTCTAGAGCAAAATTCCCAGGCTAAGCCCAAACTCTTGCCACCGATTTCAGTGCGGGTCGAATTCCCCAGCCCTGGTTTACCACCCATCTTAGTGTGTGAGTCGCACTTAACAATTTCCAAGCCCAGCTCTGACTTCCACTAAGGGCCCCAAGGGCTGAGGAGGAAGAAAGGACAGTCCAAGCAGCTCAGCCAGAGCTGGGGTGGGGGGGTGCCCCCGGTTTGCCCCTAGGAGGCCTAGGGAACTCAGCAGGCCAGGACACAGGGAGAAGGCGGCAAGGAGAAGGCGAACCGGGACCAGAACCGGGTGGCAAGGGACAAAACTGCTTCTAGTCTTTAAAAGGCAGGAGGCGAACCGGCGGGCGGAGAGCGGAGAAGGAAAGGAAAGGAGCAAAGCGGTACCGTTCATTTCCGACCGCGGTCGCCACGGTGGTCCTGGGCCCAGCAGAACTTAGTTGCCAAATCCATCGAAAAACCCTCTCCGGCCCCTCTGGATCTCCGATCTCGGGGCGCGCCCCGCCTAGCATGGGGCAGTTCCGAGCGAAACTGCAAAGACGCGGCTGCTTCGAGCCAGCCCAGTAAAATAGACCCAGGCGAGGGGGGTGAAGAGGACAGACCGCGGCTCGGCGCCGCCCGCCTACTTGCAAGAAACACCCCCGTTCGCTGGATCCCATCGCGCAAGGACAGACAAGAAACGTCCCTCTTAGGACGCAGCCACAAACAACTGGATTTGCAGAAAAGGGGAAAAAATCGATGCCCCTAAAAAAATGGCCAATAATGGCGATTTCGGGGAAGAGGAAGGGAGAGTCTAGCACTGTCGGAAACGTTCCAGCTTCCCACAAGGAGACCGCATTCTTGATGGTGAAACTTAAGTGGAGTTTTTTCAGCGTGTCAAGAAGAAACAAAATGATGGCGGGGAACTATCTGGAAGTTAGTTGGACCTGGGGCGAAATGTGTATAACCTGAGGGCATCCCCCACCCTCCTTTTCGATGTTTCCAGACTTCGCAATCATTTTTTTTTTTTTTTTTTTTTTTGTAAAACACTGGTGGCGACTCTGTCCCCACCCAGCCCGAGGCTGCTGCAGACGCGCGGCCTAGGTCCTCCGGGCTCAGAAGCCTGCGGGCGCTGGGACCGGGAAAGGTCTGGGGCGGGGAGGAAGGCATGTTGGGCTTTCCGCGCCCGGTGAAATTGAAAGTATCCTGGGCCTGGCTGCGGTTTCCCGCCGGGCGCTGACCGAGGCCTGAGCGCCTGCGGCGTGGCCTTAACTCTTGCTTCCTCGCCCCGGGGACGACCCCGCCAGGGGATGGCAGCCTGTGTTTTTGCTCGGTGAATCCCTGGCGTTCTGGGGAGTCCTGCAACAGCAACGGGCGTTTTCTTCTGTAAAACGGGATATTAAATAACCGACCCGTCCTCTGCTCCCAGGGTAGGCTCCTGGCTGGTCAGAAAATGCCAAGTCATCAAGACCAGGGATCCTGCCTTGGCACCCACCTGGGAGACACTAGCCGCTCGTCATCTCTAGTCACTGCAGAATTTCAGGGAGAGTTCTAGTGTATTCTCCAGGTGAAGGAAGGACGGCATCACTTAAATGCTAGCAAACCTGAGAGCAGATGGGGTCAGCCGGTTCAGGTGGGGACTAGAAATTAGCTACGGCCTCAGGTGAAAGTACTTCGTACGTAGACTCCGAATCCCAGCGCCCACAAGAATAAAAGGGGGGAGTCCCAGTATTAAGATTCAGAGGGATTCGGCTGTGGCTTCTGCCAAGCCCCTGAAAATCAAGGCGCCCTGAGCTGTCAGGTTTAAACCCTGCGTGGAAAGCGGGTGCACCCCCCCCCAGGGGCAAAGCATCCATCACCCCATCTGAAAAGAGATGGGAAAACGAGCTGCCCTTATTAGTATGTTACTGGTTCCCCCAAAGCCAACCAGAAAGAGGCTCAGAGAAAACAGCATCCAGGCCAGCATGTTAAACTAAACGTTTATAAATTAAAGGGGGAAAATGACAGCGAATAGAGCTTCCAAACGTCACAAATCTCTTAAAGTTAATACTCTAGTTGAGTGCTCCATGCCTGACGGAGGCACAAAGCGGTGAGGTTGCCTGGCCCACTGGTGGGGAGCAAGGGCTGGGGTGGGAGAACTGTGAGTGGGGTGGTGGGGTGGTGGGACTCACAGCCACAGAGAGGGAGGGCAGGGCTGGGTGCCCAGCTGCGGAGGCCAAGGAAAGGCTGGGGGAATATTCACATTGAATACAAAAATAACCGTCATTTGAGTACAAACAACTGAAAAGTGCTACAAGTTTTAAACCTCCTTTAAAAAAATAAAAAAGAACTTAAAGTTTCTGCAAAGGGTTACGGGGTTTGCTCTCTCCTGGATTGGGGTGCTTTTAGGAGCTCCCCAGGGGGTCAGGGTCTCGGCCACGCCGGGATGGGGGGGTGACAGTGCCTCGCCCTGCTGGCTCCCCTCCCGACATTCAGCACCCAGCTGGGTGCCCCCATCCGAGTGCTGACTCCGTGGATGGGATGGAGGCGGCAAAAGCAAACCCTTCGGGGGCTTGGTCAACCCCTTGCGGGGCCTCTTGGGGGCTGCCAGGGTTCCACACCCCACGTTGTAATAAATGCGATTTCCAAAAATAATAGGTATGTAGATACACATAGATTGGTAGCATGGATACCATGAACTAGTGTGGCCAAATGCACGAAGCTCCAGGCGGGCCTGGCCTTCGGGGGACTCAGGCTATGTGGTCTCCAGGAGCTCTCTCTGCTCTGGGCAACGCCCTTCCCAGGCAGACACAATCCAAATCCAACATTGTCGAGGCAATAAATAAAGTCCGAGGGCTTCCAGGCAGGTGGGGGTGGGGTGGGCGGAACCCCTAGGCCGTAGGTTGCCTCTGTTCGCGCCAGAAAAAGGCGCCCCCTGCGGCAGGCGGACGCGGCCGGCGGCCGGGTCGCGCGTCCCGGGGCAGAGCAGGGCGGGATCTCCGCGTCCGCTGCCCCCTCCCAGCACACGACCCGCGCCGCGCCGGCGGCCGGCGGCGCCGCAACTCGGGGATGTTCCGCTGTCTCGCCCCAGGGGGGCTCACTGGGTGCCCGCCGCGGCCGCGCACGTGGAGAGGGCCCAGCCCGGGAGGCAGTAGTAGGGGTAGTAGTAGGACGGCTGCAGGGGCAGCAGCGAGGGCGGCCGCAGCACCTCGCCCGGCAGGTACTGTCTCTGGTCGTCGCGCACCAGCACCTTCACCGCCACCTTCTTGGCGGTGGGAGCCGAGGCCAGCAGGTCCGCGGCCATCTGCCGGCGCTTGGTCTTGTAGCGACGGTTCTGGAACCAGATCTTCACCTGCGTCTCCGTCAGCTTCAGCGACGCGGCCAGGTCGGCGCGCTCGGGCCCCGACAGGTAGCGCTGGTGGTTGAAGCGGCGCTCCAGCTCGAAAACCTGCGCGTGGGAGAAGGCCGCCCGCGAGCGCTTCTTGCGTGGTTTGGGCGCCGCGGGCTCCTCGTCCTCCCGGCCGCCCGCCG